ACCTTTTGTAATGCTTTGTTCTATGAAGACCACAAAGGAAGAGCTACAAAACGTATGTTCTGACTTCGGCGTTTTCACTGACATCATACTCCCTCCCTCCAAGAAGATGCCCAAACGCATTGCCGGCTTTGCTTTTGTTCAGTTCAAGACGAGAGAAGCTGCTGAGAAAGCCAAAGATTATTTTAACTCCAATAAGTTCCACGTAAGTGTTTGTCTGAATTGAGAATGTTTCTAGTAATTTTTTGAACTTCCATCTCATGTACTTGTAATGCACATAGCTCACTAAATTCATACTTCTGTCGTTCTCTAATTTACCAATCCTAGGGACGGATGGTAGCCGCCGATTGGGCACTACCAAAGGATACGTATGAGACGGCAGCGCAGGAAGGTAGGTTCTCCTGTTTTTTCTTAATGTAATAGCAGTGCAAAGTCTGATTTTTAGAACGGGAACAGCTGAAGAAGAAGGTCAAATTGGAGCAGGGCGAGGACGATGCGAATTTAAAGGAAGAGAAGCCAGAATTGTCAAAGTACGCTGTTGCTAAACAAAAGCTGTACAGCTACCACTTTTTCTAGGACGAAGAAATTTGAGAAACCTTCTGTGAGCACTCTGAATAGTGATGATGAAGGTGGAGAGGATGATGAAGAAATGAGGTTTGGGTCATGGGAGGCATCCATTTCTTCTTGATTTTTTTGAAAAAGTATAGGCTTTGCTTTGTAGCGACGAAGAAGTCGATGCGGAAAGTGATAGTGATGAAGTGGAGTCTGGAAGTGAAGGTGATGATGATCATGGGAACAGAAAAGAAGAGGATGAAGAGGAATCTGAGGAGGAGAGCGACGAAGATAGAGGAGAGAACAAAAAGGATTCAGCAATAGATGAAAATCGTGTTGTGTTTTTGAGGTGGACCATTCTCAGTTTCGGTTCTATCCCTCTTCTGCGCAATCGATCGTTAAAATGAATATTTAGAAACCTCTCATTTGATACCACCAACGAGACTTTGAGAGCTGAAATGGAGCAATTTGGTGAAGTGAAGCTTGCGTTATGCTGTAAATTTCGCGATAGCGGGCATCCCAAAGGTGAGTTATTTAATCACTTTAGAAATTTCCTCTTGGTCTTCTTTTGTAATTTTATAAAACGTAACAAAACATTCACATGTCCGTGACTTTCCTCAGGTTATACCATTCTATATGTCCATTTTTATTCTAGGTACAGCTTTTGTGCACTTCAGCACATCCGCAGAGGCGAGAGCATGCTTGGAAGCTACTGAAAGAGGGCTGGAGATTGGTATGAGTTCTCCTAAAGCAAAAAAGACTTTTAAAATCAGCGTCACTCTTTAGATGGCCGACAAATCAGCGGGTCTCTAGCCATTCAAAGAGAAAATGCAGCTGAAATCCAGAAGCGAAAGAGTGTTAAGGTTTAGCTGGCTCTATTTGATTCTTTTGTGTACCCAACTGGTTCCTGCAGCATTCCATTTTTCTTTTTTTAGGTACCAGAAGACAAAAGAAATCTTCGGTTAATTCGTTTCGGATTGATTCGAGAAGGAACATCTGCTGCTAAAG